GCTTTGGTGAAATAAATTGTCAGTGAAATGTTGTTAGTGAGTTGATCGGATCTCTTTTATTGGGTGTTGAAAATAGGCACTAGAATTAGTAATTCAGATCTAAAAAGCAACTAGCTAGTATAGAAGATAAGTACCAACTTATAGTGCTTTTTTTTTATTCTTCTCTATTCTTCTAACACTTCTTTCTCTTTTTATAGCTTGTATAGTGCTTTATTGAGTGTTGAATATTGGATCTGATCAACTCACCGGCAATCACTTTGTAGACACCTCATTTCACCAACAATTAGTTACCAACAAGTTCATTTTACAAAGTGGTCAATATCATTAGGTTAGATTATAATTAGATTTAAAGTTAGTATAATTTAAAAAAAAAACTTGTTGATAAAATGAGCTTTGGTGAAATTAACTATTGGTAAAATAAATTTGTTAGTGATAATTGTTACTGGTTTATAAATCATTGTCGGTGAAATAATACAGACCCATTGAATATAGGTGCTAGGATTAATCTGCAGTTTTTAAAGTACAATTTTTTTTCTTTACATACTTTTGCAAAAAGACAATTAGGTAAATATTGGCATAACCAATAGTATATGAGGTTGTAATATAGGCTTAATCAACTATGTAAGAAATAAATCAAAATATAAATAAATAAAATTCACGTATGTATATAATTAATAAATGAAATTAAAGATGGATTGAAGTAGACGGTCATAGAGTGCAGGCAGAGGAGAAAAGATCATTAACACGTCTGCTCGAGGTCTGGATAGGCATAGAATCAAATGAGAGCCTAGTGGTTAAGAAAGCAAAGAGTATTGTTGGGCAGTTTGTAAGAACATTGCATTTTAAAAGTTTATCAATTAGTTAGCTAATTTATGTAAATAATATGTATATTGTGCTAAAGCTAGCATATATATTACAGTTAATCAAAATCTCAAGAGCAAGTCTCAACAAGATTTATCAATTTATAACACGAATTATCAAAAACAAAATTGGACTCCTGGCTATGGCGGGCAACTATATAGTAGCACATCAAGAGCTGGTCAGGTGCAAAACTCTTGGTCAAGAAATTTTTAGCAAACAATTAGTTAGCTTGCAGAATAGGTTAAATAGTCGTGATCAAGTAGACAAGTTAACATGAATAAGGTTGAATGAGAGGTTTGCATTAGCAGGCCTTATTAAAGAGAGTTGGTATATATCACAAAATGTGATGCTGAGAAGAGTGTGGAAAAATAACTTAGCAAGCCTAGTTTTGTTAAAGGCAAGTGAGTTAGGAATCTCAGTTAGTGCAAATATAGAAAAGTGGCAAGTGTTTGGAACAGGTCTTACAATTTCTGAAGTTTTAGGAGAGGAAGTTTTCAGCAAACACTATAGTATTATAAAAAGATTCAATTTGTTCTATATTAATCAGTTAATTAATAAAGCTAGTACTGAGATATTAACTTGAAACAAATTTCGGGCCTTGTGAGCAAATTCACTTAAAGGATAAAAAGCAAGGTGGTTTGAAGCTATTGAAAAGAAGATCATAAGCATTGAGACAAGTAGAGAAGTAGTAGATATATTCAAGTTGTCAACAAGAAATGCAATGTATATACAAATCAGAGCAGAAAAGATTTCAAATGACAAGAGGCAGTGTGAATAGGTGATAGTAAATAAAGAAAATAACGAGTTAATGTTGGGTAGAGTTAGGAAAAAGATGAAAACTCATCTGTTGGTGGATCACTGGAAACACGCACCAATGAGCGATAGTATTAACATTTTGTCAGAATGTAACAAGTATGTTTTTGACCAAGGATTTGAAGGTGATATATGCTAGCAGAGGGTTAGTAAAAGAGAAGTATTAGGGGCAATTCCAAAATCAGATGTAAATAGAAATAAGAAAATACTAGTAGTAATTAATGAAGTCAAAGGGTTTAAATCGGAGGGCAATATAGTTTTAGAAAAGATTGGTGAGAGACCATTAATTGATACTATAGTTGTGTATTCGCATGAAAGGAGTTTGGTTGTAGAGCAGGGTTTTGATACTGTATTGAAGTCCTTGTTAGTATAGCAAGTAAAAATTAATTGTAGCAAGAAGAGTAGTAATTATATTTTTTATACGGATAGTTCTTTAATGAAGAATAGTTTAGGTTGTAGAATGGGAGCAGGTTGGGTATTGGTGGATAGTAGTGAAAGAGAGATGATATTAGAAGGAAAAGTTTGGGTTAGTAGATGGCCATCATCAATGAAAGCCAAATTAGTGGCGATTTGGATATCATTTTTAATGGTTAAATGTAACAGCGAAGTGGTGATTAAGCTCGATAGTGCGGCAGCAATAGCAAGTTTGTCTAATGCAGTACTGTTAACTGATACAAGATTGTGGAGCAAGAGGCCAAATGTTGATCTGGTAATCAAGATTCTTGATATTTGTAAGTCGAAAAATATTGCACTTGACCTAGTAAAAGTTAAAGCACATAGCAATATGAGATAAAACAAAAAGGCCGATTAGCTTGCAAAAGAAGGATCACAGTTAGACCAAGTCTCGGTATTACCAGTTGAAAACAATCACACACAGTGTGCTTAAATGACACACTATTAGAGTTAACAACAAGAAAAGTAGCTAAAACTTTACTTGGCCTTAAAACTGGTACAGAGTGGAGAAGTTCGTATGCTATATGTACATATGAAAGTAATAAAGACTCAAGTCATAATTGGAAAGCATTATGATGCCAAAATAGAAAAGCGACAGGAAACAAGTACAAGTCCTATATTGCAAATAGAAGTATAGCATTTAGAATCAAGTATATAAGTAAGAATTTATCAGTTTTTTCAGTTTTGAAGAAATGTAGGCCTAACTTATATCCAGCAGATACATGTATTAGTTGTGAAGCTAAAAGTGAGACAACTGATCATTTGGTCGAGTGTAGTAGTTACAATTTTTGTTGGGACATAATCAAAGATGTAGTATGCTCGATTGTGTGAAACAGAATAGGCAGAGTGTATAGAAAGAGGGCTCCTATTGAAGTTTTCAGAAGTATAATAGTCAGTAGTACAGCTAAGAAGAAGATAGAGCGAAGGAAAGATTATATTTGAGGGCTCATTCCAAACAAAGTAGTCGATGAACTTCTAAACTAGCAACTATCAAGTAGAGTTATAAATAAAGCTTTGTTGAAGTACAAGACAATCATTAAAAATAGTTTTTTTAACGAGATCTGGCAAAAGAGATGTAGGTCTGTAGTTGTCTGGAAAAAGACAAATAGTATAAATATGGCAATGAAGTGAAGTAGTTGTGTAAAGAATATTATACCTGATAGCGAAGGCAGCACTACATCTAGAGTAAGGAGAAGCAAAATTAACAACATTTCGAATAATGAAAGTGTTGCAGCAAATAGTAAAAGAGTGGCAGAGGTAAAGCGGTTGTTTGAGAAGGGTGTTGTAAAATGGATTGAGAGTGGGTCAAACCCATTTTGGTTTAGTTCTTGATAGAGCTAATAACATCTTCTGACTCACATGTGGGTTGGTGCGACAAGTCGCATCTGGGCACATAATATATAGCCAGATGATATCAGGTTTACAATTTTGAATTAGTTAGTATTAGAATAGCTTTAAACTTTGTTTTTAGTTTAATAGTTTAATAATTTGTATTTGAGCTTCGACAAGACTATCAAAGAATTAAAAAAAAAAAATTAATAAATGAAATTCGGAGTATTGGTTCTTCAGCTACCGGTTTTGAAAATTTCTATTCGAAAACTTCTCGTATAACAAACTTGGACATGTCCAAAATATCCAAGTCTGAGTGTCCGAGTCCAAGATATATTACTTGGACATCGTCCGAGTGACAATCAATTCACACAAACAAAATTTGGACTCAAACATTAGACAATGTCTAAAAATGTCTGGTCCGCCAAATTGACTTGAATATCGAAAAATGTACAACACTGGTTTAAAACAATATCTAGCTCAAAATATAAACTAGGCCAGATAATGAAAATATTTAAAGTCAATAAAAAGATCAGAAAGCAAATTTAATATTAAAGCAAAGCTTTACAAAAAAGATATACAAATGTTGCATTTGCTAAATAATTTTTATTAATCATATATAGATTATAATAGTGCTTTTAAGATTTTGGATTTCTTTTTATATTTTTTTTTTTTCGAAATTTGTATTTCTTTTTTTTGATTTTTGATTTTTAGTTGTTTTTATAACTTCTTTGTTTAAACTTTCAGATATTCTATAGAATAGGTAGACAAACTTTACAAATTCCGCAACTCTGCTAAATATCTATTAATGATTATTAATCATTAGTGGAGTTTATTTTTTAGAATCTTACTAATAGTAACCGGTGGTGATCATTACCGTGATACGTGACAAGAATTTATTTAGTACGTATAAATACTTAATATACAGTATATATACAGTATATATATATTATATATACTGTATGTACTATATATTATATACAGTAAAATTCTCATTACACAATACATTTTATTTGTACTGTACGATTGACAATTCATACTACTAAAAAACTCGTACATACATACGTACGTACGTACGTACTTTATCAGTTATCTAATTTTTGAAGACCCAGTACTTAGGAGATACACCCAGTATCCTGAGCTTCATCTGTAGAATAAGTCATTTTAGTTCGCACAATATAGTAATTTAGTCTGTAAGATTCACGATTTAATTTACTGACACTTTCAATTTGCATATACACATTCTTACGTACGTACATATATATGTATATACAGTGATACAGTAGATATTTAAACTTTACAATACAAATTTATCCATCGTATAGCACATATCAATACTTCAAGTTTTATTACCTTGCATATAGTAATATGTCATAACAAAATGGCATTTGAAATTCTATTTACTATAACCCTGCTTTAACTTCAATGCTATATCAATAAAGAAATGTAAATGTAAAATAAAAGCATGCTTAACCCTAACCAATGTATATTCACATATATATATAAAATTTCAGTATACCCTTGTCATGAAAATTGCAACAAAATCAACGTCGTTCACTTTTAATTTTTACATTTTCGAACATTATGATCTGTTCCACCACATCCTTTACATACATATTTACACTTAATAACATTTTTATTATCATTAAGAGTATCGTCAGCACTAACTTCTTGAACATTATTAACAAGAACATAAACAGGATTATATTGTTACTATGAAATTTGCATGTCTTCATGTATATCCAAATTGGAATCAGAGGGGTTAAGTGTATTGTTTTCAGAACTATTATTGTTCTCAGATAATAACTTTGGTGGGCGTCCACGTCGTCTCTGAACAGAAAGATTTGAAACCTCCAAATTTTTGGTTCATTATTTGTATCTTTGTGTACTGATACATACAAATTGGGATCAATTGGGTTAATTGCACTATTTCTAGAGCCACTGTTACATGATCTTTTCTCTAATGCTGACTTAATACATTTATTGGGCTTGCATCCACGTCGTTTTTGAACCAAAGGATTTGAAACATATAAGTTTTCTTTATCTTCACTGTTTACATTTTCAACGCTACTTTTTTTACAAGTAATAAAGTCATTGACTATGCCTATAAATTCATCCTCACAATTCAAATCAAGTGCCAAAATTGAGAGCCTTCTTTATCTTTCCGAAACCTTGAGTATATCTAACTTCCCTTCGTAAACATTTTTTTATTTCAGTTGTAAATATGACTAGTGGTTTGAACTTATTAAATATATGCAGATCATTTGACATTTCTATATCACTTTCTTGCTAAAATTGGGTTACAACCCCTACAGTATGCTGTAAATTAGGCTGTGTATCATTATCTTGAACATCCTCCAGGTACCACCGTTTTGTAATAAGGCCAATGTTGTATCTGGCATTTTTTGAATTTAGCATAACTTGAAAGAAATATGCACACACAAGGCCATGGTTTATTATAAATAAACAAGTGCACAAAAATCCACTATCAATTAACAAGACAATATAATGTTTGTATGATTTCGCAATTCCAGAAAGTTCCCAAATTTCTATAATATCAGATGGTTGCAAACCATTTAAAAGAGAACGTAGCGATGTTTGCGGCCTATCAAGCTGATCTTCGAGAAAGCCAGCATTATAATCCAGCTGGTTAATATCTTCTTGTATAAAACTGACTGACTCTTCTGAAATTAATTTTGCATGATATAATAAAGATCCATGAAGTTGTTGCTCTTAAATGGATAGAATATGTGCTGGTAAGCATTTTTCATCAGCTCAAATACTTCATAAAATACAGATTCAACTACTGAAGGTGCCTGATTACTTGGAAGACTCTGAAGATACGCGTTATGATGGGCCTATTGGGCTTCATTGTCTAATAATCGTTGAACTTGATCATGTAAAGTACATAATGAAGAAGCACTTCTTTAATTAACTTGTTCATTACTTTCACTCTTTGAGTGCTTTAAATCCCGGCAGTGAAACATCTAACTTGAAAGCACTTTGCTTATTTTTTGCAACAATTATTTAAAGTATGATTAAAGTATTCTTGTAATTGAGTATATTGCTCAAGCAGACATGTCCAACGGTGATAGAAATCTTCCTCATATAAGCTGTTCCGGGTGTATAAAAATTGTTTGTAAAATAATTTAAAGCTTTTGCCTAATTTACTTCGTAAGTTTTTTTTTAAATTTTCCTGAATATGAAACATATATAGAAAGTGGTGAGTGACAGGCATTTTTGATGTTATCGCATTTATTAATGCCGAGTCACCATCAGAAAAGAGGCAAATAGGTGGAACGTTATTAGTTGCTTGGAGAACACAATCGAGATACCATTCATAGCTTTCAGCTATCTCATCTTTCAACAAACATTGTGCAACAAGTCTACTTTTTGTATTATTATCCACAACAACTAGTAAAGCTAAATACATATCAAACTAGTTGGTTCGACATGTATTATCCGTCTGCGCCACATCATTATAATGTATAAGGCACTGGTGCTGAGTAGGTGATATCCAGAATAATCTGACAAGCCGATTATCAAATGGATCCAGCTTTGTGTTAATGATCCAACCAGGCTTTTATTCTTTCAATAACAACAATTTGTTAACTATGTGTTGGGCATCTCCTTGATGTCTAATAAAAGATGATCTAAATTTTTGAACGGCATTATAAAGGTCTCTCTTATGAATAAATTAGTCTGAAAAACTCACAACAAGTAAAGGATATATTTGCTTGGAACACATTTTTCCTTTGGTAATATAAAATTTGATTTTTTCCATTATATTATTTGACAACTTTCAATATATGGGATTATACAAAGCTGAATCTACTACCAAATCATGATTATGCTGGCCCACAATACTCATGACTTTTATTTCAGATGTTTTTGATAAGTTAAGATTAATATGCCATGGGCATTTGATTTTTTTAGACAATCTATAATGCTGATGACTTGAATCAATCACTTTATTTGATATTTGTTCACCAGAAAAACTACATTCAAACGTTTGATGGCAGATAACTCCAGCACTATTAAGTTCAAACCATTTATGACGTAAAGAAAATCCCATTAGTTTTGCATATTTAGTTAGATGCAATTCAGCTAATTTCCACGAAGAAAAAGAGTCAACAATTTTAATAGAAATTTCCTTTATAAGGTTAGTATGAATATTTTGTATGGCATTTGGGCAGTTTTCCATATTATGAATAAGAACTACATGATCTTCCTCATTATTTACAAGACTATTTTGAACAGCTATTTGGCGGTTCCCCTTAACAAATATAAATTTATCTCTACTGATATTTATATGATCTCTAACAGATATAGAGTCGTTTTGGAAGGTTGTTGAATGAGTTTCAACATTCATAAGGTCATCTTGAGCAGTATTTAAGTAATTTTCCCAAACAAATATAGAATCATCTTGCATGGTCGGTTTAATGTTTATAAGGTCATTTTGAATGGTTATTTGGTAGTTTTCCTCAAAGTAGTCTTGAATAATATCTGTATAGTCTTCCTTAACAATTATATTGTTGCTTCGAACAGTAGGTAGTTGACTTATACCAGCCCAGGCAGTATCAAGATAATTCTCCTCATCATATTTAGCAAAAGTTTCATCGGGTTAAAAGTCTTCCAGAAGGTTATCTAAATGGTTTGTTACGTCTTTCGTTTAGTTTTTTTTTCTTCTCAACTTAAGCGTTAAAAACTTAAATTAACAACAGTCATTAAATGTAAGAACTCACATTCCATTACTTTTGAACTCTAATTTGGAGGTATATATATGGTTAAAGCCAACTATATTTCTGCACTTTTGTCACACTTGTGAAATTTTCTGTTTCAACACATAAGGTATCATGGTCAACTTAAACGAAAAGAAATTTAATCATTATTTTGATTACGCTTTTCGTCTTATTTAAATTACAAATTGAGAAAACAATTAAGCCTTACTCCGCATAAAAATAATATAAAAATGTTTGTTTAACTCCGCTAATCTGGGTCTCTGTAAACATGCAATGATAATCACCACCGGTTCCCGCGCCACTGATCAGGGTTTGGTAATAATAGTAAACATGCAGTGATGATCACTGCCAGTTATGGCTAGTTTATTTCTATTTTTTATATTGCCTACCTATTTTATAGAATATCCAAACTTTTTATTTTTTTGGTTTATACTTTTAAGAGGAAAAAAAATTTGAAAAGAAAATGAAGTTTTAATAGAATAGGAGCTAAGCTTAGACTAAATAGTATCTTTAAATATACTATGTTATATATGAGGTATAGTAGCCAATATCAGTATAATAACCAAAGCTTAAGTATTTTTAAAAGATAGCCAGGTTTTAGTTTAATTTGTCTATTAACTAACTTAGCCTTGTATTAAGTATTAAATATTTAATAAAATTTTAGTATATATTTATCAAAAAAAATATATATATATATTATAATAGTATACAAATTTAAATTGATCTCAGAATCTAGTAATTAGATTTTTATAATTTTAAACTTGTTAGAATCCTCTTTTTAAGAAGATTATTTTGTTAGTTAAATTATCCAAATTGGACCAATAAGTCAAAGATTATTTAATATTAAAGTTTAAAATTTAATATTAAATAATTTTTGATTTACTAAACCAATTTGAATAATTAAACTACTAAAATAATCTTTTCAAACAGAAAATACTAATAAGCCTAAAATTATAAAAATACAATCACCAGATTTTGAAATCAATCTAGATTTGTATACTATTATACTATATATATTATAGTATATAATATAGTATTAGTAGTCAGTTTTAAAATATCAGCTAACTAAGCTAATAGTATAAAACTTGGCTTAGCTAGCTTAGCTAACTAAGTAGTAATCATATAAAATTTTATATTTAAAAATTTCTTTATTAATAATTAAGATACAATTCGGATATCTGCTAATTTAATTTTATAACAAAATTATTATAAATATAGTATTTAAATATTTATTAATTTTAAATAAAAAGCAAAAACAATCAACTCTTTCTAACAATCACTTGTATCAAATTTTCCCACCAAACAGAAACAAAAATTTTGTTGGAGTAGTTGACGTGACTATCTGATAGTTCTTGCAAAGATTAACCTTTCTCTTGGGGGACTCCTTTAGCATATTCGGCATACAAGCCAAAAGCATTAGAATACAAGATAACTGGAAAGAAGGTGGTGCTCTTGTATACAAAATTTTGGTGATAAGAGCCTGGAGGAAAAAAGGTCTTTTCATCGACGAAGTAACCGAGAGACAACAAAGAAAAGGAGAACAACAAATGAGTTTCTCTAACACACTTCTTGAAAAATTTAGAGTACCTGTTTCTGACAAACATTATATATCTTCTACCATATTTCTGTGGTTTTAGAATTTTTTTAGAAATTTTGGCTAAAAAGTAGAAAATCAGCATACTCTTTCCAAAAGATCAGCAGTGTTTACTCTTTCCAAATTAGGACGCATCTACTGAAATAGAACCTCCTATGAGCTTATTTGGATTCTGCTTTGCCAAATAAACAATGACAGTAGTACTGTTTACAGTATAGGGGATCAGAGAGATCATGTGTAAAAATTTCTTAATATTAGATGTTTTTTTTTCTTTCCACTTCTTTTTATTACATATAGTGTTAGATTAGATTTTTTTCTATACAACATTATATAATTTTTATAGCTTAACACATGCAATAATAGTGTCGTCATGGCTGTCTTTTTTTTGACCTTTTTTTTCTTGTTTCCTGGTTTATTTTGTTTTTGTTTTTTTTTAGTTTCGTTTAGTTTAAACTTTCTCTCTTTTTAGTTTTTCTTTTATTTCGTATTTGTTTTTTCTTTGTTTTTTATTAGTAGTTCTTCTATCTAGGAGGCTAGGAGAAGAAGGTTGGAAAAGAAGACAGTTATGACGGGCTGGTGAACTAGGTTAGTGATCCAGAAATGGGTCAGTTGAAATAAAGTAAGCTAAACCTAACCAGGGAGATTAAACTCATCTTTGGCAGGTCACACATAGGTTCAATTAAAAACTGAATAAGCCATATTCTAGATTTTTTGCTATAAAGCATAATGTAATTCATACAATCCTTCAGGAAATGTAGTATCTCATCAATAAAGCAGGCATGTGACATGGCTATCAAATTTTTTTTTAAAAAAAAAAAAAATTTAAATAAAAAGAGAGGTAGTAACTTAGTATAGTAGTTTAGTCTAAGCAGCAAATCTAGAGTTTGAATCCTGTAAATGACGATTTTGAAAAATAGGCCTGCATTATAGTTGATAGCTATCAATTATTAGTTGGATCTAGAATTAAATTTGCAATTTTGGTTATACTATCTAGTAATGGAAGCTTTGATGCAATAAATTAGAAAAACTAGAATAACTAAAAACCTATTTGGCAAGTCCTAAGTTGGGATGTAGTAATGATTTTTAATAGTACTACAGGAAAGCTAAATTTGAACTGAGTCTAAGATTAGAAAACTAAATAATCAGATCTTTAAATGGAGGATATACTAGCTAAATCAAAACTCTGAACTATATATAAATAGATTAAAGAATACTAAAAAAGGAAATTTTAGTAGAAAATTACTAAATATTGTATTTTTAAATAGTAAATTTTGCTAATTTTGGTCAAAAATAAACATTCTTAAACCAAATTTTGTATAAAAATAAGCAAACAATTCACTAACTTATTTATATATAGCTTGGGGTCTTGCTGAACTGCCAGATACTAAACATAAGAGTATATGCTTCAAAAGTATAAACCAAAAAAAGAAGATTACAAAACACCTAAAGATCTAGACTTCTGTATCACTATACCGATAGGGAGTACTTAAAAAAGGTGATAGCCTAATTAAGTGGTGTACGACATTAATACCTGGACCCATATGAACAGCTCTACTAATGGCGGCAGCAGGTGGCTTGAGATACGGGTCTTTGAACGGCGGCAGCACCTGGCTTGAGATATGGATTAGGCTCTGAAGTAACATACTTGAGGAATACCAAACTAGAAGCAAGAAGAGCGCCTACTCCTAGGACACCAATTTGGAAGTTATACAAGATATAAATTAGGAGTAATGTGATAAGTGATGAGGGGTGGATTATAACTGGTGGATATTGTACAGTAGTATTAGGGATGCTAATGGAGTGCTCCAGGGTGGTGTGGTGCATACTCTGGCAGAGTATCCCTTAACACCACACCACACTGAAGTATGAA